AAATTGGATCTTAAGTAGCGGTTCTCAAAGCGGCTAGTTATACACTTCCCCCTAGTTTATATGTCAATAGTTGTCCTACATTTCGTGCCTGCTCAAATAAAACAAAGAAAAACTTTCAAAAATCATTATGTTTTAGTGGTTATTAGCTAGTTGTAGCTATTATTTACTATATTATTTCCTATAGCTATGTTTTTAAAATTTTTAGAGTGTATTCGATGTATTTAAGCTACTGTATTCATGAATACAATAGCATTTCTAGACGTGAAATATGGGATTATAGCTAGACAGATTTTTGTATTCGACTGTATTCACGGCATGAAACAGGGGATTACAGCTAGACAGATTATTGTATTCGACTGTATTCGATTGTATTCACCATATGTATTTGTGAATACAGTAGCGTAAATAGCGCAATTCATGGTCTATTCAGCTATTTTTAAACGGAACGTGAATCAATTAACATAATAGACTCCTAATATAACTCAACAAACTCGATTATAACACACAACATTTATATTTTCAGTTATAAAAAATTCTCAATTGAAAAATACCCCAAAAACATAGCAATCTTTAGAGAAAATATGGTGAATATTTTTCCTAGCCGATAAATATAACAAACAGAGCAATTTGAATACATATATACATCTGAATACATAAATTATATTAATTAAAAAAATATATGAATACATTCATAGAATACAACGAGACAGTGAATACAATGAAATACATGGAATACAACGAGATACATTGAAATACAATGAAAAAAAGACAATGAATACAATGAAATACATAGAAATACAACGAGATACATTGAAATACAATGAAAAAAAGACAATGAATACAATGAAATACATAGAAATACAACGAGATACATTGAAATATATTAACAGAAAATTCAAGTTGCTCAACCCCAAACTCCGTCATCTTTGTTCAAGAACAACCCTAATGTCGTCTCATGAGCGGATGGAAATAATAATTCCCTCGGAATAGGAACCTCAATTTTCACTTTCTTCTTATCTACCACATCGTCTTCGCCGCCAATGATTTTCCTCGGAACATGAACCTAAATTTTCTGTTTGTTTCCATCGATAACCGGTGATACGACGTTGTTTTAATCGCCGGCAATTTTCAACGGAGGAATGGAATCAACCGGAGTTTTCATCATCATAAACTTCAAAACTTTGCAGTTCAAATCCATGGAAAAGAGATGAGATTCGAAACTGTACAAACAAAAATATCTTTGAGAAGCTCTGTAAAAGTAAGATGAAGGTGGAAGATGAGAGAGAAAGAGGAAGAATAGATATGGGGTAGAGGATAGGAGAAATTTGAGGGGATAGGAGAAATTTGAGTGGAGAGAGAAAAATAATACAATGCTTATTTTATGGCTTAAGGGTAGGAGGTGACCACAAATAGATATTTGGCTATAAAAATCAAAAGGTAATTATGGAATATAATTTTTTAAAAGGGTATTTATTTAAAATAAATAAGATATCAACATTTGCTATATGTGGTAACTAATCCTAAAAGAAATTGCACAAATGAGTGTTTTTTATGGCCCAAATTAAAATGGCTAATTGACCCAAATGATTGGCCCAACGTAAGAAAGTTCTTCTAACAAATTGGTTAAAATAGCACGGGCTAGCCAGTTTTCGGACTGGTCATTAAAAAATAGTCAACGTTTGCAAAATCATTGAAAAATAGCCACTATTTTGCTGCAATAGGGACCGATCTAGCATAATATACTGGAGATCGGTGCACCTGTGTATGAACTTCTAGCATATAATGCTGGAACTTCAACACACGGAAAGTTCCAGCATAATATACTGGAGATTGGAGCACCTGTGTATGAACTTCCAGCATATTATACTGGACCGGTATACTATACTGGAGTTCCAGTATACTTATGGTGGAACTCCATTATAATATACTTGAGTTCCAGTATACTTATGCTGGAACTCCAGTATATTATGCTGGAGTATTTTTCGGATTTTGAACAGTGTTTTCGTTCAGATTTATCTTTAATAAAAAGTGGCTAAATTTCGATTACTTTTGAAACTGTAACTATTTTTGAATGACCACATATAAATCTGACTATTTTTGAATTTCTCCCAACAAATTGGCTGAAACATGTGGCCCAAATCTGATACATACATAGTACTAACTAGTGTTTTAGCTCATGCAGGTTCTAGCCCTTTAGTGTAGTCTTTGCCTTAAACTTTTTTTTAGACAAACCAGTTGATGATATGATTGTTGGTTTTTTTTTTTTGTAAGGTGCGAATAGAAAATGCACGAATATTATCGCATATGGAATAAAGAAAAGAAATTTATTGCGCTTATATTGAAAAACAATTCTACAGTAACTTAAAGGGTTGGAAAGAAGATAAGTCCTCGCACCGTTATAGTCGCTCGACTTACATTCGAATTGCGATTTGTATTCGGATTTAGTCAAATATGATTGATAACTTAAAAGGTTGGGAAGAAGATAAGTCCTCGCATTATTGTCATCGCTCGGCTTAGCTTCGAGTTAGGATTCTTATGGTCAAATGTGATTGATAACTTTTGGACCAACAAATTCTTTATATTTTTATTTTGCAGATTTTATTTTATTTCGCGAGCACTTTATTTCTGAAAAGGCACCAAAAAGGATGCAACTTTTAGATTGCACCCTTTCATCTCACTTACAGCTTGTTTGGCCAAGCATATGGGAGAACAAAAGTACTTTTTTCCTCCAAAAAAGTACATTTTAAAAAATTTAAGCAGTTTGGCCAATATAGAGAAGTACTTTTGGCCAGCAGCAGAAGCAGTTTTTCTGCTTTTGGGGAGAAGCAGAAAATTCTAGCTTTTTCCAAGAAGCAGAAGCAGAAGCAGAAGTGAAAAATTAATTTATTCAAGACAAAACTATCCTCACCATAAATTTATATTTTTCAAATTATCCTTTACTAATTTAAGTTTTTTATTTTTATTTTTGTTTCTAGTTTTTATCATTCTTTTAAATTAAAGATATCATGTACATGAATCATATTGTAACTTTCTAAATTCTTTATTGACTTTTCTTATTTTTGATTTTTTTTGTGTGTAATGTCTTGTAACTTTCCAAATTATCTTTTTCTTTTTTCATACTAAAGCAAATTATCTACATCCTTCGTTGGATTATCAATTCTCTTCCTACAAATAATCATTTATAATTTCTTCTGTTATATGTTATTAGTTCTCGAATCTTTAAAACAGTTATCAAATCTAATTTGCGAAAATTACTTACAAATAGGTAATAAATTCACAACCACATCGCATAATCTATTTATATATAATTAAAAAAAAGCATCACGCATAAAGCCAAGTGGCAGCATGACAATAGGCCACTTAGCAATTTAGGACAAAGTTAGTAAGGTTAGGTAATACTATTTAGTTTCTTTCTGAATTTAAATTTTAATAAAATTAAATTATACATTATGTGTTGTTAATAACTAATTATTCTTTTTGAATTTGAATTTCAACATACTTAACTATTTTTTTTTACAAAAAAATTTATTTTTATATATTTAAAATTATTTCTATTTTACGCTCAATGCCATCTTTCAAGTTTGACACTTAGAATCATCTAGTTACAATTATCATGGGTACATAATTTCATTCGATGACATTCTTCTACCGATAAGGAATTCAGTTATTATGCTAATGAAGATATTACTGTAGAGATTGTGGAAGGAGTTGGGCCTTCGGATATTCCTTTAGAAATGCAAGGCAAGTCTTCTACTAATATGGAGCTTTGTGTGATAGACGTAAAGATGAAACTGTTGAGAAATATTATCATGTGTGAGTGACTTTATTTATGATTTCATGGTAGATTATCAATATATAGTAATTTGTGGAATAGACTTCTAATTCATACCGAATGCCGTATTTTGCTTATTCAAATCATGATGTAATAATAAGTAATTATACTAGATAATAATATATACTTTGGTATAACTATATATGTAAAATTAATTTAAATCTTTAATATGTTTTTTTTTTGGTAATTAAATCATTGTATAACCACAAAAGTAAATATTTATAAAGCAGTAGGTCTTCTCAACCTGACTTCCTTACTAGAAAAAAAACCCAACTGACTCTCTATCATACTATATTCTAATATCTTCTATATGATTTCTATCTGACTACCTACTCAATAATTATATTTTGTTAATAAGACACAAGTATATCCCTCAGCTCTAATATTGCACATGCATACTGCTCTCCTTGCAAGAATATCCCATGTTGTTGCTTTTTTCTCAAATATTCTTGCATTTCTTTCAATCCACAACGTGTGTGTGTATTCTGCAAATACCATTTTGAGGATTCTGACCATTTGAGATCACTCTTTTGTCTTATGTATTATTCAATTTTGCCATTCTGACCATGAAAATATGATTGGTTGAATTTGTAACCATTTCATGAGCCTGCACCACATGTTTATGCCATATGAGCATTCTGCAAAGATATGCTCTCTTGTTTCCAGTGCTTGATTGCAAAAACAACATGTCTCATCCACTTGCACTTTCCATTTCTTCAACCTGTCAGTAGTAAGTAGCCTTTCATGCATTAACAACCACATTGTGAAGATTGCTTTTGGTCTAGCTTGGTTCTGGTACATTAGGTCTTTCCATGTAATCTTTGGCAACTCACCTAACATCTTCAAGTAGACTTTCTTAATCACTATCTTCTGATTAACTTGATTGTTGTGATACTTTCCATATTACCTCTTGCTCCAAATATTTTCCTCATCCAAGAAGCCTGTTTTGGTGCTTCCATATTGGCAAAGGATTGATCCTTTATATAATAACTATAAATCCATTTGATCCACAGTTTGTCTTTCTTGTTTGCCAACTCCCAACTTGCTTTTGTGATTTCTGCCTTGTTCCATATTACTAAGTTGATCAAGTTGAGTCTCCCTGTAGCTTTAGGTGCACACATTTTTCCCATGACACCAAAGATTTTTTAGTAATTACATTTTCTCTTGATCATACATAGCTTCTGCAATAAGATTCTATTGTTTTAACAACTTTAGCTGAGATGATGAAGATCTGAGCCCAATAAGCTTGAATACCAAAGATAACATGCTGTACCAACTGAATTCTGCCTGCATAAGATAGTTTCTTTGTTGTCCAAGATGATATTCTAGCCACTATTTTTTCAATAAGTGGCTGCCATTGCATAACTGAAAGCTTCTTTGTATCTAGTGGTATGCCAAGGTATTTGAAAGGCAATGAACCTTGGCTATAACCAATCTTGTGTTGTATCTCTTTTTGTACCTCCAAGTTAACTCCTCCATAGTAAATAGAGATTTTAGCTAGATTAGCTTTAAGCCCAGATGTTGCTGAGAATATCAGGAATCTATCATGCATCAATGCAACTGATGTAGCATCTCCCCTTGCAAAAAGCAAGAGATCATCCGCAAAACTCAAGTGAGTTATATCTAGCCTTGAACACATAGGATGAAAGTGAAAAGTTTTTTCCAGCTTCAAATTCTTCAAGTTTCTGCTAAGGTACTCCATTGCTATAGCAAACAAAAAGGGGGACATTGGGTCCCCTTGTCTCAATCATCTAGCTGCATCAAAAGGTCTAGTTGTTTCTCCATTAATGAGTACAGTGTAGTTTGCTATTGTAACACATTTCATAACTCATCTAATGAACATAGTAGGGAAACCCAATTCTTCTAGCATTTGGTGCAGATATCTCCAATCCACTGTGTCATAGGCCTTTTGAGTATCCACTTTGATGAGGCATCTTGGTGAAATGTTCTTCCTTGAATAAGCTTTGACCAATTCATGAGCAAGTATAATATTGTCTACCACCTTTCTACTTGGAATGAATCCTGCCTGTGTATCTGATATAATAGTAGCAATTACTTTCTGAATTCTGTTGGCTAGAATCTTGGCAATGAGCTTATATAAAACAGTACAACAGGCTATTGGCCTATATTCTTTGATGCTTGAGGGGTTACGAACTTTAGGGATAATTGTAATAGCTGTACAATTGACTGCTCTGTATAACTTCCATGTATAAAAGAATCCCTTTACTGCTTGGCATATTTTTGAGCTTATGATAGACCAACTTTTTTTGAAGAACAAAGCATTATATCCATCTACCCCTGGTGCTTTATTATCTCCAATAGCACACAATCCTTCATAAAATTCTTGATCAGTGACCTCAGCACATAAGTTGATCTGCTACATATGATTGAGTACTGGTCCATTCTTCATTACTTGTTTATTTACTGTAGGTAATTGACTTACAATTGAGCCCATCAAGGATTTGTAAAAATTAATGATCTCTGCTTGTATCTGCTGCTGATCAGTTATTTTATCCCCAAAGCCATAAACTAACTCTGTGATGACTTTTCTTTGTCTTCTTTCCTTCATAATTGCTGAAAAGTACTTAGAATTTGCGTATCCTAACCTTATCCATTTTGTCCGAGCTTTTTGTTGGAGAATGTTTTCTTCTATTAATGACTATTTTTCCAGCTTCTCTAAGGTTTGTTTTTCCTCAGTTGCTAGATCATCTGAATAACAAGTTGACATTTGAGCTTGAATCCCCTGTAGTTGGTCTCTTGCTAGTTCCAGTCTTTCTTTGATACCATTGAATTCTGAGTTGTTAAGCTGCTTCAGTAATGGCATTTAAACCTTTAGCTTCTGCCAAATATTCTTCATAGGATCAGAATTATAGTACTCTTTCCATGTCTCTTCTATCAGTGTCATGAATTTTGGATGATCAGCCCATACATTAAAGAATCTAAAAGGAATCTTTCTACCTGGTTCTAATCTCCTTATTGTTGTAACCATGGGAGCATGATCTGATATGAATGGTAGCCTGTAATCAACCTCCATGTGCCCATAAGTCTGCATCCATTTGTCACCCCCCTTTTTCTCCCTCCTCTTTTACGGGGAGGAAAAGGTCCGGGTTTTCGATATTTATGGGGGGTAATAACTCATTTTCTTTTGGGAATTGGGTATACTGAAGAGTCACCACCTAACGAATTATGGTGCGTTAGGGCACCTAAAGCGATTAACTCTTGGATTGGTTTGCATTACCAGAGCTTTAGGGTGAGGGCTCGAAATAACCTTGAGGGAAGGTGTTAGGAACCCCTCTTAGTCCACTACTGTGGGTCCCTGACCGAATTTATATTTATAAATTAGTCCTTTAACATATAAGTAGTTGAAACAAATAAAGCATGTTGGCATTGTATGACTCAAATAATAAAACACAGAATTTGAACAAGTTGTGCGCATAAAAAGAAAGTAAAGTTTTTAAGCAAAGGGAATTTGGGAAAGAGGGGTCCAGGTTGGTTAGCCTACAAGACCACCCCACGCAATGTCTGGTAAACACTTCTCAATGAGCGGCTACACATGACATTAGTGCGTAGTCATCATATTTTGTTCTACCCAAGTCCCTCCCCTTGGTCATAGCCTAAAGCATTCTAATACCCTTGACAATGTCCTACGCGTGCACTACCCGTCCCTTCCTTGTGGTCCTGGGGATTTTTTAGGACCTCAAAAGCTAGGCAGTTTTAGACAACCCCTAAGGTGCTTAAAAGGAGAAAATTCTAGGCGACATGCAAGAACAATTTAGGACTGCATATAAATCAAGTTAGAGGCTCATAGTTACCTCCTCAAGCATATCACATAAGTGCACGTCTTCAAACAATATTTAAACATTTAAGAAAACAAATCCTAGAACATGATATCTAAGTGAGCAGAGGTTATAAAGTACTGAATTAGGCCAATATGTGAAGGATCCTATTTAACTTGCCTACTGATTAGACCTGTTAAATCTGAACAACTTCAAGTAGTAGAAACAGTTTCAGAGTTGCAGAATTTAAAATCGCCCTATAGGCTTGCCTAAATGCAGAATAGTGATGTCCTAAGAGCATAACTACGTTGATATAGTAAAGCAGTGGGCAGATTTTAAAAACGGACTCTTGAATTCTTATAGGCATGCTTTCTAATAGTAAATTAGGGCAGTATTCGAAAAAATTCATTTAAGGAAAACAAACCACTGATTAGACCAGTTTCGAAGTGAACTAACAGGAATTGAACTGACTTATTTGAACTAAACTGATTTTAGATTTATAGGCAGAATTTCTGATGTTGTTCCCTATTAGAATGATATCTAGTTGTTAAGAGCGGATGTTAGAAACTTGTAGGCATGATATTTAATGAAAACAAATGTAATTACCCGTTATAATAGAAGTTGAACTGGATCACATTCTATAGACATGGTATCTACTTGAAGTTGATTTTAAAACCTATAGACATGATTTCTATTATTGGAACCACTTGAAACCTATAGGAATGATTTCTAACATGGTAAGGCAAACATAGCAAGTATAAAATCCTATAGGCATGGTTTCTACCCATATTACCCCACAAATGTGTAACTACCCACCCCTTTTTCACTAATTACCCCAATATTCGTTTACAAATTATTACAACCCAGATGAATGAATTACATAAATAGATAAAAAAAAAAGAAGAAGTCACATTATAGGGAGCCTGAAGAAGGCCCAAGTGATTTTTTAAACCTCCAATAGCCTCAATGCCAATTTCATACACAATATCATTGTCTAGGTGCGTCAGAGTTCCCTAAGGATCTCAAGGATCCCGGGTAGTGCTCACACCTAGACTTTGTAACCAAATTAAGTAAGTGTAGTGTGGAAGGGCCAACCTCAGTGTGCCAGAGTTCAGAGGGATCTCAAACGGATCCCAAGGCAGTATACATACTGGAAGGGGCAGAACCTAGGGACTTAGGAGTAGAGTGAGAGTGCTTGACATAGTTTGAAAGGGGTTTTAGTAGGAAAACAGTGTTAAAAGAGATTTGCTTGAAATAGTTTTGTAAAAAAAACATAGGGAGTTATTAAATAAGACAATTTTGAAAAGGGTAAGTTGACCAACAATCAACAAACTAAATACAGAACCAGAAGAGGTTCATCAGCACTTCAATACATGGAATCAAATAGGTACACATATTCACTCAGGGGTAATGGGGATTTGGGGTAAGTATAAGGCACATAGCAAGCACAGATGCACATAGGTACAGAATCAGAGAAGCCTTGAAAGGGGTTCAAGGGATTCTAAGGTACAACATAGACTTCAGAGTTAATACAAAATCAAACAGACTTAATATAGCCAACTACTTTACACAGGAATGTGCATGCCAGAAATCAGAGAAACATAGTCACATTGGGGTATACTAGAAAGGGATTCAGGAGCAGGATAATCCTAAGGGGGTATATTCATAAGCATGTAGTGAAGAAGACAGTGAAGTAGATATGTTAGTTGCAGATTGAACAACAAAACCATAGATAGAAGCATATTGGAAACATGACAAATTGAAGTAGTAGGAGAAGCATATTGTTTTGGGACTTGAATTGAAATTAGAACATACCAATAAAGAGATAGTAAACACAAAGTGAAAGAGAACCCAATAGTTAGCCTTGGCTTGCAGCCGGCTAACTTAGAACAGTAGTAAGTAACACAAAAGAGAGCAGAAAGCTTTGACTGTGAGAGAGAGGTTTTTGACCAATGTGTTCGTGTGTTGTGTTAATAAAAAACAGGGTACTTATAATTTGAAAATAGGTAGAAAATAAGGCAAGAATCAAAGTTCAGTAATAATTATGGAACCATGTACTAATTAGAATCAAATCAATGCAAGTACTCCCTTAATTAAGGGGTAATCAACCAACGGTAAAGAGCATGACATGTTTTAAGGAAAGAAAATCAAGTAAGACATTAGGTACGAAATAGACAATTAGGGGTAAATACACAATGGTTCAATTAAGGAAACAGTTAGTGAAGAATCAACAAATAACATGGTTAACCAAATAAGGTAAGAAAACTAAATAAGGTTGCAGAATATGGAAATAATCAAGAATCAGCATATAGCAAATCAGTGAATCAAGGACTCGAAATAATACTGATTTAAGGAGAATAACATAGGTTCCTATGAATAAGCAAATAAGCCAAGTTTAAATAGGAAGAATCGGAGGTCTAAAGGAAAGCTTTTCAAATCAAGCCAAGAAACAGGGAACTCAGAATCAATCAAAGAAAGAGTAATGAGTCAGTGTTTAGCATAAAAACAAAGTGAGACAAGGATAACCAGAGGTCGACACATAACTCTAGCAAGCACGAAAGTTAAACAATATTGATTCGATGAGAGAGAGGCAAGTCTTGAACAGTTAAGATGAACACAAACACATAAAATCGATGTAAGTTAGGCTAAGAAACTCATTTGAAACATATTCAAGGCAAGATGGTCACAGAATACTCAAAAACGAGAACCGGTCAGTCATGCTGATACGCAGAACCAAACGAAGAAACCTAAAAAATTAGGGCTTTCAGCATATACGAGTTAAAGATGTAGTACAATCATAGAATCAGTCAAAATGTGTAATAAATAGAAGTTTAAACACAATGAATCAGTTAAACAAGGTTTTAAAAGAAGTTCTGAAACCCTAGTTTTTTAGAAGAAGGTGAAAAATACTTGAAATCCACGATTC